CCGGCAGGGGGGAGTGGGGGGGGGGGGGGGGAGGTTTATCCAGCAAGCACTACCAGTCCGGGGTAAGAAGCCGCTAGTAGCTGAGCTCCTTGAGACGCTGAACCCAGAGCAAGAGACGATCACATGGCGACACCCCCCGCCCGCACCCTCCCGCAGCGAATAAAGCCGGGCCTCACCCAAAACGGGGGGGAGGGGCTCGGCCAGGAAAGCTCAGCACGTCCCCGGGCCACAAGTGCGCCAGCGCCTGTTCCCCAGCACGCTCGCTCGCCTCTCTCGGAGCCCAGGGCGCGGGGAAGGGCAGGGAGCGCCCGAAATGAAGGACACGTGGGAGGGAAACGAGGCACCCAGCAGAGTGGGGCACGATCCGCGGGGCCCCCCTCCCCTGCAGCCCAGCTCTGCAGTGGCTCGGATCGGAACAGACGTGCATCAAGGCATGGGGGGGCCCAGCCACTTCTAAGTCGGGGACCAGGCCTGGGTCCCTAAGATGGTGCTGAGGAGCTCAGCTCTGAGTGGGGACCGGACCAGCCCTCCCCCGCCCGCCAGCCCTGCCAGGATGGCGGAGGTAAAACTTAGTCTGCCGAGTTGGTGAGGTCCCCGCGGGCACCGGCGTGATCCTACCCCCGGCGCCGCTCCTTGTTCCCAAGAGACGCCCCGGCCGGGGCAAGGGAGGCAGGGGAGGGGGGCGAGGCGAAGGTGGGAGGCGCAGCCCAGGAGCCACGAGCCCACGCCAGGCCGGCGGGGGAGAGGGGCCCAGCGGGAGCTGGCGGGGAAGCAGAAGGCAGGCGCTTCCCTGAGAGCCGCCGCCGCACGCCCCTGCCGGCTCGGGCTCAGGCCCCGGCCATGTGCCAGCCCGGACACGCAGGCCCGCGGGGAAAGGATATGGCCAGTCGATGAGCTTCTTGGCGTATTTCCTCACCACGTTATCCTCCCCGAAGAGAAAGAGGGATCTGTTGACGGTGAAGCAGTTCTGCCGGACCGGGATGGGGTTGTACAGAGCCATAGTCCTGGCCCTCTGGGCTTTGGTTTGCTTGAAGGCTCCCGGGGTGCCCCCGGCGGGGGCCGCGGCGCCCGGGCGGCCCCTGCTCTGCTCCGAGCCGC